TTTGTTTACGAACACGACTTTGAATCGCCTTGGCTTTGGGGTAACAGCTACAGGGCATTTTCACTTCCGAAACAATGAAACGGAGGACATGCTCGTGTACCAAAGCAACCCTGTGGGAGTTGAACTCATTTCCTATGTAAACACTTTCGTTGGGTTTACGTTACATAATAGTTTGCGCACAGAAATCTAGGCCAGAGAAGTGGGAGAAGTGAAACTCATTTCCTCTTTTGATTTATTCAGTACAAAGCAGCACTGGTTTCGGTTGAAGAGAAGAGGGTACACAACACACAGCCAAACTACAGCTTTCTGTTCGTACGAAAAGTCGTACACATTTCGTGAAGACACGTCTGCAAGGTTTTTAAATGCCATTAACACTGACCTCGAACTTTAAATAAACAACTTATCTGCTACAGTCTTCAATAAGCTGCCTCGAAAAGTCGTACACATTTCGTGAAGACATGTCCACAAGGTTTTTAAAAGCCATTTACGCTGACTTCGAACTTTAAATAAACAACTTCAGTATCCGCTACTGTCCACAATACTGTGCTTCCTCGACATTCGAAAGTCCGCAATATTGGGCAACACTCGAAAGAAAGCACATAGACGAACATAGACATGACGTCATTCGCCCCTGAAAAATTTTTTTGGGGGGCCAAATCGGTGTCTCCCGATGGATAGATAGATACACAGATCTCGAATTTTCATGCATTACGCGATTAGAACTGCGTTCTGTCGAACGCAATTATTAGTGATGGGAAGTTTATATTTATTAGTAGTAGTATATATAACTACAGTCGGTTCTAATAGCCTCCCGAGTCTTCTACACTTGATCATATTCACATGTTAATTTGCGCCTTAGAAATATTAAATATTATTATTATTATTTTATTACTGAATAACCTTTTCCAGTAGCAGTTGGTCAGGTGACCAATAGTTTCTAAGCTTTTAATTCTGCTACAGCTCTATGAATTTCAGTTCTGGAAAGAACATGTTTTAAATAGCCAAAACACCAATTTTCAGACCAATGCCGTGCAAGGTTGAAATTTAGGGACGATTTGAATATTGCATTTATATAAAAAGGCTCTGTATGGAGGCGGGGATGCCAAGGACGTTTTGCCCTCCAGAGAACTATCCCGTTATTAACCACTAAAACATGAAGCTACTGGAGACAATTGGAGAGGGGTAAACAGGGGGGTAAAATACTAGGAACAATTGAAAAGATGCTTAAACCAAAAGGCAGTCTGGAAACTTACAAAAGTACAAGGATTGGTATGGAAAACCGCAACCTCGTTGAAAAGCCCTGAGAAGGAGGTTGGGAAACCACTGAGTGGTGACTGGAGGGCAAAGGGGCTTCTTCTCTGAGTGTACAAATCTTTCTAGTTTCTAACGGCCATAAAAATTCCCTCTTACGATTTATCAGTCCGGGATCGTTATCAGATTTGATAACCTCGACCAAAACAAACCATTAACCAATCGCTGCACAAGTTTTCGTTCACGTGACATTATTTGGTAGCAACAGTGTATAATTCAATATGGCGGTCGACGGGGCGCTGCGGTGAAAGGAGTTACTTTTTTGACAACATCACAATGCAATTTCATTTAATTAATTGTATGTTTGCTTCACAATAGGTTACTGAATTATGGAATAGAAACAGAGATGTATGGAAGAAAACGGTNTATATATATATATATATATATATATATATATATATATATATATTTCCTACATCAATATTTCTTTTTCTTGAATTTTATTCCTTTAATGTGTAGTGCAAACATTTTTTCTAAAACTTGACCCATTAGCTACTTAAGCTAGGAGCCTTAAACAAGCTCCAGATCATTGAGTATAAATAAAGTATGCATGTATAATGTATAATGTAAGTAAAACTGGTGTTAACTTTTCACATAGTCCATCCATAAAGGTTTTGGTGCTTACATGTAAAACGTTGAGTAGTGTTTCAGAGGCAGATCTAGGGGAGGGTCCGGGGGAGCCCGCCCTCCCCCCTTATTTTGGGTAAAAAAGGAAAAAATCACAGAAGGAAGAAAAGACGGCAGAGCAAGCAAAACACCCCCTCCCCCTCCCCTTAGCTCAAGGTCTGGATCCACCACTGTGTTTGACACACATGTAATCAGTCCGGGATCGTTATCCGATTTGATAACCTCGACCAAAACAAACCATTAACCAATCGCTGCACAAGTTTTCGTTCACGTGACATTGTTTGGTACCAACAGTGTATAATTCAATATGGCGGTCGACAGGGCGCTGCGATGAAAGGAGTTACTTTTTTCACAACATCACAATGCAATTTCATTTAATTGTAATTGTATGTTTGCTTCACAATAGGTTACTGGATTATGGAATAGAAACAGAGATGTATAGAAGAAAACTGTATTTGTCCAAAAGCTACAGCGAAAAGTTTCATTTTCAGATAGACACCGTATAATATTTGTTCCGAGTAAAAACCCACGAAGGTAGACAACAGTTATTCTGTTCACAAAAGCGTTGTTTATTGATACTAATATGATAGCTTCTATTTTCACTCACGCCTCATTTTCTTGGTAGTTGGCGAAGCTGGCTGTTCAACAGTCTGTATAAAATATAAACGAAACACTAACAGTAAATACATCTTGAGTTCACAAATTGACANTAATGTCGTCGGCTGTGTATATCTTTTGCCGTTTGTGCTTGTCAGAAACAGACTCTTCCCTTGAAATAAAAAAGACCATTCGCAAAAGTGACACCTAATAAATTGAAAGGTATCTTTCTACTAAATGTATGTAGAACTGAGAGACTTCTTTGTTTCTTGTATTGTTTTTTTTTAGAATTCGTGGTAACGATGTAAACGCGAGTTCTGTTGAATAGCGCATTTGACTAATCCGTGCATTCTCTGACAGAAACAATTATAATTTAAAGCTAACACTTTGTCGGCAACCATCTTTTAATATCTCTGTGTATACTTTTGATGGGTTGAAGAATCTTGTCTAGCTCATATCTGAGAGTATAAAGCGGCCACATTAGCCAGTAGTCAAGGACTTTTGCATCTGTCTTTTGCATCAATGAATTATCATTCGTACATTTAAAGCCTCTAAATTAATATAACAAATTGACCAAGTTTTACAAACGAGTTCCACTAGTTTTGCAAAACAGCATTTCCACTGCAATGTAATTAATGCTTTCAGTCAGAGTCTCGCAAAAATTCTATAGCCAAGAGAATGGAAAGCGAGTCATCTTTTTTTTCTTTTTTTTTTCATCTGAGATAGCCGGTAGCAAAGTCAAAGGCCCCTGAACCGAATAATCGATGGCCAAACAAAGCCCTTGTGCCCCAGTTTGAATTTGGAGCCCTGACAAATCTGTTTTCTTAATTAGTACCTAAAACTTTTGGATTTCTAGCTATTTATTTACTTGACTCTGTTACTTCGGCCTGAATAGTAGCTCGCTAAAACTGAGTAATTAATTGAATTGAATATTCGAAATGACGCGGGTGAAAATCACATTAGTAGGCAAATGTGTGGAGTAAATATCGAAAAATAAAATCCTTCTTTTATACAGCACTTACTAGACTGAAAATATAAACTTGCGATAATAGCGAAGCGAAAAGAAAAAAACTATAACTTTGGAATATAAATTAACATGACATGGGACGAAGAAATATTTATAAACGTAACCGGAGGAAATGTCTTTTCGTAGTTATCCAACAGTTTACTAAAACTAACTTTTAGCTACCATCTCTCCCTCGCCAAAATCCTGTTCATCATTTTCTGCTTCTTTAACTCTGAAAGCGAAACAATTGATTGTTTTTAAATTAATAAAGCCATTGGTATCCTGGCACCTCAAGAGTAACCGCTCTCTTCTACTTTTAAGAATTTGAATTAAAATTTAAATTAAATCAGTTCTGTTTTTTTTACACTTAAATGGCGTAAGGCGATTTTTGCAACAGATGCGATTTGTATAATTCTCTCAACAGTGACAATTAGGTGCAGTCTTGTAAGTCATCTTAGTAAAATAAATTGGAAGCTAAGTTGCGCGGTTCTGTTACATAGACAAGGCTCAGAATTTCATGTTCCAGAGAAATGTCGTTGCTTCATATTTATGAATTGTGGAAGACTATTCGGCTACGATAACCGTGTAATGCCGACAGAAAGTTCATGATTCGTTTGTCAAAAATGTGCGCTATCAAGGCACGCTATGTGAAAGAAAAGTGTGCTGCGAACTGGCGTTAACTGACTCTTTAACTGGAGTAAAATCACACACCTTATTTGTAAGCTTGGGTTTCTCGCCGAAAGTTGTAATCGATTCGCTTAACGCGAAAGAGGAGAAAGGAATGCCAGGGGTCTTAATATTCCTTATTTCCGAAAATTTGCGCATTTTTATATCGACACAAAACGTAACGGACTTTTGCAACATAATGCAAAACATAGCAAGGAATTAAGGATGTACCATTCGATATTTTAATTTGAATGAATAATCAACATCCACAGTTATGAAAACAGATATCGTCAACTATGATTTACTAAATGCTATCGATATTTTCAAATCCTCATGAACTCAAAACAATAATTTTAGCAGTCATTCATCGTCTTGCATGAATAATGACTATGACAAATTTAGCTTTGAGAGTCGCTACAATTTTTTCAAGGCGAAACAAGAATAATTTTAAGATAGTTTAAGCTTAGCGCAGGGAAGTATTGTCCACTCGATTCCGGTTACAAAATAAAAAATAACACTTAACAGATCGTGCACAACACTAAAAACACGTTAAATCCCAAGAATATGGCGTGAAGATTAACGACATATTTTTTATGATTTTCGCAAAAATCTCCAGGTAACTTAAATCTAATGACAAAATGAAAAACATACCTGGTTTGGATGCAGCATTGCAAGCGCTGTTTCACTTTACGAGTAGCATTTTACATCGTTTACGCTGGTCTTCAACCGCCATCTTCAAAACACGTGAGGCTCCATCTTTTCTGGTAATTATCGAATAGAGTTATGNAATTGCAAGCGCTGTTTCACTTTACGAGTAGCATTTTACATCGTTTACGCTGGTCTTCAACCGCCATCTTTAAAACACGTGAGGCTCCTTCTTTTCTGGTAATTATCGAATAGAATTATGGGTAAATTACCCGAGTATAATCGAACAAATAACGAGCAAAGCGAAGTGAATACGAAAATTCCAGGTTTTGAAATGGCCGCCATGTTGTGACGTCACATGCTTATCAAATCCGATAACGATCCCGGACTGGTAATAAATGCTTACTGAAATCTTTAAGAGAGAAACTAAAAAACAGAATGATTAAAACTTGAGATATTATTACCTGGTGACCATTTGGTGGTTGTTTTCTGAGTTAGATCAGCCCGGTTTGACACGACCTCTGTGAAGTAATCAATAGCAAACAGCATTAAATTTCTGAATCTTTTTGACTGAGTGGTTGCATAAAAAACAAAAACAAAAACAACAATCCATATCCATCTCACAGGGGTTCATTTGAATTTCCAATGGAGATAGGGATCTTATGAAGGCAGAGTTTTTAAAGGAAAGTAAGAAAATTACACGTAACTGGAGTTTCCAGAGAGGGTGGTGTGCATGAGGGTTCATAATAACCAAAAAATCCTTTCCTACATCGCACAAACAGGCAAACATTGCATCAAGCCTGTAGACTTATTATGGGATAATATATAAGTTGTTCCTGTGCTCTACATATGAGTGCTTTTTACCACAGTTTAAGTGAGATTCCAGATGGTGCAACATAGCTTTAGTGGAATGTGGGATAAAATTGGCTAAAGGTGTTCACATTTTTTTGTTATTTGCCCTGGGGGAGGGAGATACTATACAAAGTTCTATACAAAGAGGCCCTGCCTCAAAGTCCAACCCCTTACCATTTTGTTAACCATTTTGAGAATTATTCTGCACCTAATCATCCATATGTACCTTATATTAAGTAACATACCTGGTGCAGATCCATTATGAATACACTTGGGGTCTGTGCGAGTTCCTTTCAAGTGTACTGTGACGCTAATTGGACTCCACTTGTCAATCAGTTCTTTTGGTCCAGTAACAAATACGGTGTTAATCCCATTGGGCTTTTTTTTCCGATCGATCTAGAACTTGCTGTTCTGGCACAAAGCCGCAGTACTTGACTCATTGACACATTCTGTTTTGCTTGAATCTTTCATTCGACATGCAGTCTTTTCCGGCGGCGACAGACAATTACTAAGGCAAACTCCATAAAGACCAGGTCTAGTCAGCGTTGTTTCATTAACATCAAGACTTAATGTTTCGCTGTTGCCAATCTCCTCTACGTGACAGAGCTGAATATTGGCAGTAATTGCTTGTGGATTGAGAGCTGAAAAAAAAAAAAGTTTAAATTTTGTCCAAATATATTTTTTTCTAGGACTAAGGCCCTTAAGTATAAATTACTGTAATGATCTTGCTACAACTCCTTGTACATAACTTTGCGAAAATTTTTAAATTCTGAATTTTTTTATCATGTAGTCTTAATTTTACGCAGGGCCCCTTTTGATACCAGCCTTAAGGCTGATGGAGTTACCCTGCCTAAATAAAGATGACTTGACTTGATTTGACAGACTTAACAAACTAGCGGTCCCTAATAAAGTAAACAATAACATTTAAACCACAGTTTTGTCCCAAAAAATGTATTCCTGTAGATAAACAAACAAACAAGAAAAAATCGGCCCATTAAATGAAACATACATTGTATAACGACATTGCCATTTTGGTACTGAGTACTTGAAGCTACCAACAGGACGTGACATTATCTCCAGCAAGCAATATAATTTAGAACGCACACTTTATTTACTGGCGATCAACAACTGTGGCTCATTGTGGTNGACATTTTTGTGTTTTAGTTTGCTACTTTTTCAGCGCAAAATGAAACCGGTCTGGATGCCGGTCTAGATGGGAAAATCTAGACCGTGGTCACTATCGATTCCAGCCAATCCAATTCGTGAATTCGGTAGTTCCCAGTCCTTGTAAGACACAGCCACACAATAATTGATCTTATTACTGTGGGTTTCGATTACATAATTTATACTTGACCTCATTTACTTATTATTTTTCTCGGAGAAATTAGCTATACAGCAACGTTCCAAAAGGATTTTCCAGACCTGATTTTTAGCTTTTGTCACTAATAACTAAAAACCAAAAAACTAACCCGGTGACCAACAGTTTTTGGCATCTGAAAAGGAAAATGCAGGACAATTCTAAAATAATTTTACGAAGACGATTTCTTGTAAACTTGGTAAAACGACAATTTGCATAAAGTGCAAATTTCCCTCCGAATTTTTTTTTTTTTCCTGACGTTTCCTCTCAATAATAATATTCTATTAAAACAATAAAAAGAAGGAGTCACCGGGCTTGCTGGTGACACTGGAATTTTCAACAATATCTTTTCTGGAAAGGCTAAGTGAAGCTACCAACAGGACGTGACATTATCTCCAGCAAGCAATATAATTTAGAACGCACACTTTATTTACTGGCGATCAACAACTGTGGCTCATTGTGGTTAAAACTGAAATAGACACGAACAGAACAAACATAAACAAAGCGAAAATGGCGCAAACTAAAACCCAAGAAAAGTAACAGACTTACATTTGTAATGCGATGCTGGGCTATAACTGGCTGAGATGCCGCTGTGATAAGACAACAACTGCACTAGATGCTTCGATTTCACTACTGCACTCCGATCCGCATTGCGAGAACTAAAAAAAAGCGCTGCTTACAGGCTATTTGAATAAATTACGTAACGATACAAGCGCCACATTCCAACACGTTGCACGATACAATACGAAATATACACTCTAATTAACCGAACGCATATTAACACCATTTTGAGGCGTTTCGATCTTACAGTACTTATGTCAATAAGTACATTTAGTATAATTTCCAGAGGTTAGTTTTAACAAATCGAATGTGGTTTAGCGTGGTCTGTGAAGTAAATAGAGCGCAAGGATGTTGGGTATCTGGTTTCGCTTCGCCATGTGCTGACACTTCAAGAAACGCTTACTTATCAAAATTCCTCTGGGCGAAATGTTCGAAGCTTAGTGTGTTCCCCGTGCGCGAAAAGTTTAATAATAATTCGGGTGGTAGAACTGGTGTACAATCTGGGAAAAGGCTAGTTGAACTTATTGCTCGCTGATGCCGGCGGCCTACGAGTTGATGTACGGTCTGATCTATGAATGTCACCATTCGCAAATTCCATTTGAGCAAACTATTTACTCTAAAAATCCAGAGCATCTTGAAAGCTATATAGCCGACTGTGCTCGTATAAAACATAGCGAAGTTTCGATTTATACGACGAATTTGGACAGGCGTGGAAAGGAATCTTACAGAAAGCGCAGAACAGGGCTATAGTTCTGGGTATAACTGCGTCGAGAGATTTATGCAGTTAGCTTATCAATCAAGCTTACTTGTTTAAGTCAAAGCGGTCTCACATTAAGCTTACCTTTCCTAGGTTCAGTTGTAGGGTTGCCTTCAGTGGAATACGCCAACAAATATAGCTCCGAAATAAAGAATATAGTTAATGTATTCTCGATCTTTTTTCGCATGCTGTTTGAACTAGCTTGTTTGATCACACACACATGACTCAACTGTTTCGGTCTCGTGACTGAATCAGTAGTGACGTCAAGATGTCAGGGAAACCACACATTGGCGTGCAGACGCTTTGGCGCGTCACGCAATCTTCGTTCGAGCGCAGTGTGCTTTGTTAAATTTCTTAAATTATCTGAGATCACTTTTTTTTTATACCGACATACTCTAGTTCCAGAAGTTTTCTCTTTTCTAAAAATGTGAGCCGCAAAGCGGCCGTAACGGCTTTTTCACTCCGATTCTGTAGCAGAATAAATAGAGGCTTTCATAAAGCAAGCGATGACATATTTTTAGTCTGTCCTACTGAAGAGCCGGGCTATATACAGGAGCGATATGAATGTGTATACGCCTATTTTTCGTCAAATCGATAACTTTGCTTCAGGTTGATATCGTATCAATTGGCTGAAATCGACAGGCCATGTACAAAGCGTGAATATAACAAGTTTTGTTGGCGTCAGCATAATCTCTATGACCCTAAGTTGATGCGCTTTCTTTTTTCACCATTGACTACAACCAGCTAGGTTTACGGACAAGAGGAAATTAACATTAATTACAAACTGATTATTGTAATGCAGTTCCCACCATAAGGCACGACAAGTAATAAACGCTTGCAACTGAATAGTAAGCCAATCAGGTTACGTACCTGAGAAGTTTTGAAAGCTAGTATAAATTCAAAACTATCGGTTCCGCACTTACCGGTAAAAACGAAGCAAATGGAGGAAACAAGCCAAATATATGTATATGCCTCCAAACTCATGATTTCATTGAGACGGGTTTAATATTCATCATTGTGACACCGCAGCAACCAGGTTAGTCGGAAGGTTAACCTCATAGCTTTGATTTCCGGAAAAATAACCGCGCATGAAAAACCACCGGCATCCAGGTCAGGTCTGAACTTTCAGTCATGTATTGGTAAAGACTTGAGCGTCTGATCTTGCATGATTGAGTCTACCGACGAGAAACGCCAAAAAATTAATGGCAAGAGTTCGCTACACTAACTGATGGCTTGAACGACTGGACTTCATACCTACTCAACAGGTATTCGTTGGTATGCGCCTCGGAAGCGTAATTTATAACTCCCTGAGGACAACCGCCATGAAAGAAAATGCAAGCTAAGCACATTATTTCAACCACAGAACATCAGCTAAATTTATCTTGGGATCAAGTGAAAATGACCACAGAATTTCCTTTGTCAGTGACGTCATTGAGTTTGCTAGCGCTAGACTCGTAGACGCTTGATGTTTACGCTGCTAAGAAATGGAAAAATATTCTGTGAACTACTGTTAGAAATGAAAGGAAGGGGAAAAAGAAAAAGAAAAAAAGAACTCCTATTACAAACACAACAGTCTGAAATGGAATTGGGGGTTGGGGGAGAGGTGGGAGGGTACACCATTATATGGTCTATACGGGGAGATGCCACCTAACAGGGTTTTTGATCGACTTCACTGCCCCTAAACGTGGTTTTATAATTTTATGTAAGTCTGTCCATGACATGGACATCCTAAACGGGGTAGAATTGCATAGTTTCTGTCGTTAAATATGGAAAACAGAATTCAAAAAGTTGAGAGCTAGAGGTCGGAGACGTTTTTCGGTCTTTAGATGGTTATCAGGCCTGATGCCTTATGAAATCGGTTTTTCTTTCACGTCGCGCTCGACGGACTAAGCGAAAGAGGGACTACTCGAAGTCTATTAAGAGTTTTCATTATAATGGTGATTTATGCGGGAAAATTAGCTACCGAAAAAAAACACTGCACTTATGACAGTACAAAACAAACTAAACCGAGAAAAATTGACAGTATCACATGCGTCTCATTTAATATCTTCAGTAATATTTACAACTTTCAACCCTCTAAAAAGCTGGACCACAAGTCCATTTATTTTACTCCTAGAGCAGTATATGAAAAACAGTCCCTGTTGGGCAATCCGACGAACATTGTTAGTAAACACTACAAAGTTGTTAGAAAAGATTTTTTCGTTTGTAAAATTAGATGACTCAAAGTCATTTCGTTCTGCATCTGCATAAAAACAAACAAACGAACAAACGACGGCTAAAAATCAAACAAACTAAAAACACTAAACAAACAAATAATTTAACAAGCTGAATCATCCGTCGCTGATTACTCACATAGGAATACTAACATATCCTACAACTTCTAGCAACATATCTCTTTAAACTATTTACAATTTTCGAATACTGACCTCGAGGTGACGAAAGTATTTAAAATCTGGTTCATGAAAATTGTTGGCCGAATCAATCCAGAATAAAAAGAATCTTTCTCTTCCAGTAAAACTTAGAAAAAGTTGGCTTCGTATAAAAATCTGTTCCTGGGATCATCCGAAAATGCTTTATTCTATATTTACCATTGTACTGACTATTGAAATTCACTTATACGTGTATTATTTAACGGGCAAGCAGGCAAGCGAAGAGTTCAGCTTACATGTACAACAGATTACATCATGGTTAATACTTGAAATGAATTGTTCCTGCCATTTAAAGTGGTACTATGTCGAAAATCGCATCTTTCCTATCGCAGCCATTTTAAAACATAAACAAGTAGTCTGTATGAGAAGAGAAAATGCTGTTTACTATTTTCAAATTTCTCTTTTCGTTCCAGAGATATTCAAGTTTTTAAAATGTCCAAATTAGCCAAGTTCAACAAATTTTGATCAAATATGATGAGAAAAGATATCCCAGCCAATTTCAATCAGAAATGTTTTGTTCTTTGCGGTAAGATTCTACAAAATGTGCTCCAAAATACGAGCTTAACAGTTTTGTTACCATGGCAACATGCTGGGTTCTAGACCCCCCCAATATTAAAGGCATTTCTGGCCACCTTTGGCGTTCCATTTTGATCTGATTTGCAAATGGCGCCTCATGTTGCCTCACACTTAAATGGCTCCAGAACTAATGCAGATATTTGCAAACGGTAAACGGCGTTTTTATTCTTTCATAAAATTCTATGTGATACGTCTTACAAACCACTCTCTTTTGCTTGTATTTATGTCGCTGACAAATTACACACGCTTCAGTTTTAATTAAGGCTAACTTAATGCGTGCTGTAAAGAAGCTCTCAGTGATCTTGAGCAAGAGTTTCTTTCCAAGACGCGATCTCGCTGAATGTTGGTCTCTTGGATGGTTTCTGGTGCCAACACTGTAGCATAAAATTATACCTGTCAAGACAAAACAAAACAAAACAAAACAAAAAACAGATACAAAAGCAAATCGGGAGGGAGGAATTAAGGGCCTGCCTACAAGGAGAGAGGGTTACCCTAGCAATCGGGTTACCATCATGAGTACTCACACATTTCCTCTTTTTTTCTTCGTCGTGTTTACAAGGCAGCCAGGGTTACTCAGGTAGGTGGGTTACCCTTTCTGCGTGGTAGACACTCCAGGTAGGGTTAACCCACCTCCCTACCCGGGTTGTAGGGTTACCCTACCTGTGCAATTTTGCTTGTAAACCTGGGCTATCTTTTGCTCTCCAGCTAGGGTTAACCCGCTTTCTAGGGTAACCCTCCCTCCTTGTAAACAGGTCCTTACTGGGATAGCCAATCACAGCGAAGGATTCGAGCCTGGCGCTTGATATAATGCGTGCTGTCACCTCGCCTCACCGAGGTCACCTCATCTCACATTAAAATATTTATAAACACTGTACATTAAGTAAAAAGGCAAAATAAACAGAATGAATGAATGATAATCAATTCGAATTAATAAAACGAGCGTGCGCAATTTTTTGAACATTTTCCTAAGCCCCGGCCCAGCGATCGCAACATATCGCAACATTGTTGTGGGCAAAATTTTGCTCGGGTGGCTCAACTTCGAAAATGGTCAAATTTGAGCCAACAACACCCAACATGTCGCAACAGGGCGCCCAGACGTGCGCAAACGTGCGCGACATGCTGCGCTGAAATCTTGCGATCATTTGGCCGGGGCTTTTAAATAACTATCACTTGAAACAAGGAACATCGTGCAATAACATGCACATACAATTCTGAGCTCATGGCTGAAGTCCTGCACATCCTCTGACCACTTGCGACGAAGTTAAAAACGTCTTCCCCAGTCATTCCTTCGTAAGGATTTCTACCTAGAAAGGTTAATTAAATAAGAGCGTAACTAATTAGTACAAAAACTACAGTAAACGGCACGGCACGGCACGGCACGACATGACAAGACAGGACATTGCACGTCACGACACGGCACTGCATAGGAAAGCGCAACTCTGCATAGTAAAACACCGCACCGCGCGTCCGCGCCGCGCCACAACGCACCCCAATGCACCGTACCCCACTGGGACCCACAGCACAGCAAAGCACAGCTCAGCTCAGCACAACACAGCATGGTATAACACAGTAGAGCACAGCACTACAGGGTAGAAATCTCGTACAAAACGACACCGTAACTCCACCTAGAGAAGTATAAAGTAAGGAAGTTTGAGTTTAAGTTTGTTTTACTCGGTCCGCACGTTCAGTAACGGTGCATCCAACACACTTAACGAGCAAAGCCTGAAGAAAGGACAATGCAGCTACTGAATTTACGGCTAGGCCACTAAATAAAACTTATGAATATAAAAGCCAAATAAAACTAAAAGGAATTCACGAGCTAAAATGGGGAGGTAATGAAAACGGCTTTACTAAATTGCGCAGCTTACTCAAAGCCACACATGTTTTTTTGTTTTTGTTTTTTTTTTTGAAGTCTTTTTTTTTTGAAGTCTTTTTTTTTTTGAAGTCTTTTTTTTTATATAATTTACGGAGGATCTTTTCGGCCGAGTTTGGGACGCTTTTCCATTATTTAGGAGCTAAAACTATCGTAATAAGAAGAACAAATAAATAAATAGATACTGTTGTAAAATGCAAAACAAGGTGCGAGGAGACTTGTGATGAGTAGAAAATGCACATGTTACGTGTGACATTACATTACAAGTGAAGTTTATTTCTACATTTTAAAATAGAGATCCCGGACTGCTTAACCCACATTGCAAAAACTCACCTCTAACAAGACACTAATTCCTTGCTCACTACACCCTCTAAGGAAATCAGTGTTTTTATTTGATAGAATGATGGACCTCTCATACTATGAACCTTTTTAAAAATGAAAGTTAATCGCTAATTTCCGCAGCACGAAGAAAACTAAGCGGTGGAAGATTCTCGAATTTAATAGAAACCAGTCAGTGTGTCCACGCCAGACACATCACGGATTCTGACATCGACGCTAATGTTAAACTCACTGACTTAATTACGGTTTAATTATCTATCTTTTCCTGATTTCTTAAATGTCGCTACGTTCAATTTCCATTATGCGAAAATCAGGATATTTCTGTCATTGATATCTTCTTGTACGAATTGTATATGGTGAGAGCGGAGTTTGGTCACTTCTGTGATCCTAGTTTTGTGATTAAACAATAAAATTGATAACCACGATATGTAAAATAGCCGTAAGAAAAAGAGGCCTACCGCCCAAACATAAAGACGATACCGTTTAGTAGCTTGCAAACTGAATAGGTTTCAGGCTTTGTTAGAATCTCAGTATTCATGCCGTACGGACTTTCAATACAACACTCTATCTGGCGCAATAATATAAAGGCGCATTTAATTCCAATCACTTACCTTTCTATGGTAAAATTTTATCGCGCCAAATCTCCAAACTGTGATAGAACTGAGTAAAAAGAAGTGAGGCTGAAATATTGGGCTAAACTGTGATTATTTCGAATAATGAAGCAGAGATAAAATTCGGTGGCAGCCTACAGCAGAGATACTTTGTCTCATCGCTGTGATATATATTGTTTAGCCTTCGAGTCAAATTATTTCTTACCACAATTGCTACTAATATCGCAATCTGATTGGCTAATTTACCGTTGTCGATAAGAGTCCAGACAAGGCTGCTCGCGTCAATGTGTCACGCAATGCCTTTTTTATCTCGCGCTCTGAAAAAAAAAAAAAACGTTTTCTTTGACGTTAATATTGTGGTAAAAAAACAAATCGAAATATGGTTTCGCGTAGGCTGTACTCTTATCTCACTCGGCTGCGCATTGTGAGTCCACACCATTTTGACCGCTGTCATGGCACGTATCGTTGTCGATAAGCGTACAGACCACGCTTAATCACATTCGATTTGTTAACTCGACAGAACAAGTTTTGAATAAACTTAATAAATTAAACCTGTACAACGTTTTCTGTATAGGTTTCCTACAGTGTTGTTCAACAGAAAAGTTTGTTTCTTCGTTTGTTGTTTGTCCTGGCAATTTTCCTCTCACATCGTTATGAAATACTGACTTTCTGTATGACTTTGAGAAATAATTACTTATTTTAAGATACCTTCAGAAGCTGTATACAGATTTAATTGAGTTTAGACATCAAATAAGTGATTTTCTTGCAATTCTGCGAGCTTGAACGTTTTAAATGTTTGAATAGAATTTCACAGCGGGCTTACTGTGTCGTCAAATGCTAAAACAAATATGTCAAAACCTGTTCACCAGTTGGCGAGAGTCTTCATGCCAAACAAACCTCGGAAAGCGGGTAGCCAGAGTTAAAAGTAATTAGTTTTCTATTCAGATTTAATATGCTTGGTTGCACCCCCTCACAATGCCTCCTTTTCCTCTTTTTCTCGGACGTAAACCGCGAGTTACTTATAAAACACCCCAATCGTTAGGCCATCTCTAAAACGGGGAAGGGGCAATAGGGGAATAGGTGAACAGGGGAATAGGTGAACAGGGAACGGAACGGGGAACGGGGAAGGAGAACAGGGAACGGGGAACGAGGAACGGGGAACGGGGAACGGGGAACGAGGAACGGGGAACGAGGAACGGGGAACGGGGAACGGGGAACGGGGAACGGGGAATCTCCAAAAGGGGGAATCTCTAAAAGGGGGAATCTCTAAAAGGGGGAATCTCTAAGAGGGTGAATCTCTAAAAGGGGGAATCTCTTAAAGGGGGAATATCTAAAACGGGGAATCTCTAAAAGGGGGAATCTCTAAAACGGGAATCACTAAAACGGGGAATCTCTAAAGGGGTAATCTCTAAAAGGGGGAATCTCCAAAACGTGGAAACTCTAAAAGGGGGAATCTCTAAAACAGGGAAACTCTAAAACGGGGAATCTCCAAAACGGGGAATCTCTAAAACAGGGAATCTCTAAAACGGGGAATCTCTAAAACGGGGAATCTCTAAGTTTTTAACACTCCTCACTCCTCCTCTTTTATTCGCACTTATGATATTTTCTTCCGGTAGATCATAACAAAACGATAATTGAATTTATTGAAAACCACAAAGGCTAACATTTTCATAACAGTATATTCTTAGGGTTTTCTCAGTGTTTTCTTCGCTCCATCAAATTGATGGTGAACAATAATATCTGCCTTTATCGTAAATTAAACTCCTTTGGAGCACGGGTTTCGTTAAAGGAAACATCGTGGTAGTATTTCCGTAGCTAGTGACAAAATTCCATGTAATCGAATTCGCATAGCCTGAGAGCGGGATCATGTTTGTTTTCTCCGGCTAAAATACACTGATCAACCGTAGCCGGTAAACATGGCGTAATGAAACAAAAGCCGGAAATGCGTCTGTGCCGCATCAAGTTCTTCGCACATTCTTAAAAACTGGTCTATTGTTCTCAGCAACGCCGTGGCCGTGGAAACAGCTCTGCGCACTATTTGATACTATTTAATACTCAGTATAATAGTTTGCTGCTGTGTCAAGAAGACAGCGGATCCAGGGTATCCAGAAAACCTTGTAGCTAAGTTACAGGATTTTCATATTACACTTCGCGATCGTCCGATTTAGTTGAACTTGTATTAACTTGTTTAAGAGGCGAAAACTAAAAAATCGAAAATGATACGATTTTTAGCAGCACTATGTACTCTATATTTCCAAATTCTCAGCGTTCCTCAAAGAAAACTGAAGAAAAAAAAATCAAGGGGGTTGATCTTGGAGGAACAGAATGGTTCTGGGGAGGACACTGAAATTTCTTTAAATTGCTATAACTCGAGAAATATTTGTCATAGTGAGGAACGGTTTTCAGTATAATAGTCCCTTAGTCATGCTCTCTTAAATGATATATTTGGTAGTTTGAAATTAGAAAATTTTTATAACACGTTTTTGCGACGTCATCAAATATGACTTCACAATATGACATTTTGACATTTTGTTCCACTTAAAATGATCAAGACAACAATCCAAGGCAGTGTGCAAAGTTTGGTTAAAAAATGGGCAAAGAGGACAAACTTGCCCTAAATGACCGTTGTTAAGACCGTTTGGCCCCAGCGTCATTCCTAAGGCTAGTTTACCTTTAGTGTACTTAGCTTAGCGTATGTATCGCTCTTTCACTGGGCATTTCATGTTCAAACACAAACAATTAGCAACCAAAAAATAACATTGGATACCAAAGGCACTTAATGATTAACATACCTGGAATGGAGTGGAGTTGAGAGACCAGTGGAGTTAAGAGGCCAGTGTCCAGGATAAGTGTAGGTTATCACATGAGGCCGAGTAAAGTTAGGGATTATTATCACATGTCCTTTCGGAAGTTGCAGAAAATTTCCGAGTCGCGCAGTAAGGGTCAATGAACTTTAATACGTACAAATCAGCTCTTTAGGTAAAATTAAGCCTGTTTTTAACGTTTTGAAGACGGCAAATGCTCGATACTGAAGACAACCATTCGTTTTAATTTCTTTCGGTCAGTTTTTTTACTTCTCTACTTCATTAAAAAAAAACATTATGTTAGTATTTTGCGTTTGCTTAGTGCTTGCATTGCGTTCATTTTCTTGTTAATTCAGTCGATAAATTCAACATCGATTTTCTCGATACGAGATCAGTGAAAGATCAGCTCGATTGAAAAAACAAACAAAAAAAAACACCAACCCCCAACCCCCCGCCACACACACACACCGATAAAGAAATTTATATAATGGAATGCAATCTATATAATCTAAAGTGGACAGGTTTTAAATGTGCACACAGTTCAGTTTTTCAATCTTTTGGCCTCTTCAGTGTGACTTTCAATTTTTCCTAGTCGTAACAGAAAAAAACAAACAATAACAATTACCTTCGTTCTGTTTTCCTTCTGTGCGGATTATCTTGGAGGTCTTCGCAGTTTATATGAGATTCCTTCGAATTCTATACTAAGGAGATGCATGACTAAGTCGGAGAGGTAATCTGAGTGCTCCATCAGACTACACTCTGAGTTAAAGACTGCACTGATACATCTTCACTTAATTCCTCCGCACTCTTGGTAAGGAGTTGTTGTATATCAGATTTGTTTTTGCATTGTTTTTGCCCAGAAAGCCAGAAATGACTCCAGAGATATACACATAAATATTCAACTTGCGTTTTCTTCACTCAGGTTTTTCCTTAGTGTTCTCTTTCTCTGGCTATTCCTCGGTTTCCATTACGAAACATTGCAGCTCTCTCTGAAGCACTTTACTTAAAACCAGTAAACGTAAAAAAATTACAGAGCACATCAGAGTATCAAAGAAACAGCTCGTTATATAATTAAGCAATTTATCACTGCTCAATTATAAGCGTTTATGCAGGAATGGATGTTTTGTCTCGAGATCTAAGCCTGAGGTTTACGAACTTCCTCAATAAAGATCCGGGACAATGAATTCCAGCCCGTGTGGGCGTCATAACTTCCACTGTATCCGGCACAATTGTTGACCCAGAATCCCACGCGCACCTTGCCTTTGTGGATGTTGTTACAGTGCCCCTCAATGTTGTTGACGCGGTAAATATTTTGACTCGTTGTTTTCAACACGTAACCAAGACCATCAATTGGCAGGCGAGCTGCGCATTCAGCAACGTTGAAAGTGAAATACCAGCGTTTGGAGCAATTGTCACAGCCGGTGATTCTAAGAACGTCAGTCCAGTAAACATGGAGGGAAGTGTCAGAGAAGTTCTTGCTGAACAAACACTCCTGTAAAAACGTAACGATAAAAAGGAAAAACTTGAAACAAAACTCAGAAACATAATTCTTTTGCAATTCCCAATTAATTTCGTCTCTCAAACTATTGTTTGTTTCGCAAACGAAGCATTCACCTTGATCAGGCCGTGATTTTTGCCGTCATTCAAGTCTTTCCATGGCACTCTTTCAGTTCATCACACTAGGAGTCCCAGGCATTACACTTGTTCCACTCTCTCCGCGCTGCCCCGTTTGGCCGGGAGGGCCCTGGGCTCCAAGTTCTCCTTTGGCGCCATTAATGCCATTGATGCCGGGGATCCCTGGGGTCCAGTCTTCCCCGAACTGCCCTGGTCACCTGTGGCTCCGTCACGGCCATCCCGGCCATCACGACCTGTTGCCCCAGGAAAAAACCAGGGGATCTAAGCTTGCCAGGCATACAAGGGATACCACCATAACAGAAAGGAGGACGCTGCTGAACACTAGAAAGAGAATTCTGAATAAATATGAGAAACTCTGTAACTATGTTGATACCAAAGAGGGGAAAACTATGACTCGACGTATAAGCTTTTCATCAATTAAATCTTTTCTGAAACTGTAAAGTCGTAGGCCATCGCTTTCCGGTAATAATTTGGTTGGGACGCATTGAGTAGAGAAGTTCCTTATAATGTTACCATTTCTCCGTTGAGCATTACATAAAAATTGCACTTATAGAGCTTAGTTCTTTAACAAATTAATGGAAAAACATGTTATCCCAATTTTTCAACTGTAGTTGTCACAGAAGCTGCTCGTTAGTCTCTATCATTGAAGTTTTTAATAAAAAAGTCATTTGCGCATGTGACATAAACACACCTTATGGTACCATGGTCTTCCTGCTGGTTTGCTTTCCTCCGCAACACAATAAACTGCTAAGTTGGACATCACAAACAACATTAAGGCCACAGAGACACCAATCCTAAAAACCATTTCCTCTGAATGATTTGCTTGGTGGAGCTAATTACAAAGGAAAAAAGTAAAAACATTAAAAAACTAAATCCTCTATAGACCTTCCGGGTTTTTTTTTTGCTAGTGAGGGGAGAAAGAAAGCCTAACCTCGTTCCCAGAGCTTTTAGCTTAGATGTTATGGAGGGCAATTCAACACATGAGGAATGGCCAGAGGCTCCTGTTTCGCCACTCAAAGTTTCTAAGAGGAAAGCCCTGGCAAGGAGGTTGAAAGGCACCAGCAGGTTATCAAGTGTTATATTCATGATTAATCACGATCCTTTTTTTAGTAGAATTGAAAACGATCTTAATATACACCGAACGATTGATAGACACGTAAATCTAAATACTGAGTAGACCTTTTGGTAACTTTACATATGAAGTTACTATGAAAAATTTGGCTAGCTGCTGCTAATAGTTAGCCCAATGAGCCTCAGTTGTTGGTATAATCGACTCGGAGAGAAAGTTTATTTAAGGTTCTCTCCGCATCAGCCTTCGCCGTCACGTATTTTACTAGCTTTCTGTTTCACTTTAGCCAGAGATTTTTAGTACAAAAAGAGGTTGTTGAGGCTTCTTTTAAATAACTTACCTTGCAAGTAACTCAACACCTATGTAGATAATAACAGGAGCCATAATCGGGGACGGAGACCGTAAGCGCGCGCCATTTCAAGTATTGGGGTTGTCCTCATGAT